TAATTATTTTTTTTAAGTCACTTTAGGGAAAAAAAATTATCTTAAATGTATTCTTTAATAATTCTGAGCTAAAAATTTAACCCATAAGAGTCGGACTAGAAAAATTGTTCCTGGGTTAAAAATTTTAGGTTTTACTCAATGGTTGGAGATGGTCTAAGGGAAAGGGGGTGGGTTAGCCTCACAATAGCCTAACAAGTGGTTCACTTACCAATGAAAAGAAATACTACTATACCATAGTACTTAGTGGCAAATTAAAAAAAAAAAAGTTGAGCAAAAGAAATTTCAACGATCTGGCAATGGATTGGGACTTTCACACACCATTTTTGTTCCTCTTCTACACTTTTTATTCCGGAGGTGGATTGTCTGCCCTCCCATTTCTATACTCTCCCCATGCCCTCCTGTGATGTGTGGTCACGGTTAAGCCACGTTAACATTTTATATTAATTTTTTATAGAAATAATAAAACAAAAAGTAATAGGAATATAAAATGTTGATGTGGCTTAAACATGACCATACAAGCAAAAGGGCATGGGAAGAGTATGGAAACGAAAGGGCAGACAATCTACCTCCTTTTATTCCACCAAAACAGTGCATCAAATTGGAGATGAGGCCACAACTAAGGATGAGCCTCCTCTATCACATGTAAATTGAATTAATACTAAAATTTAATCTGCATGTTTAACCTTCCTAGCATTATCGTTCTTTTTTTATTAAGTTTCTAAGAAAAAATGAGAATGAGTTGTAAAAGTTAAATAAAAGAAATTTCAACGTTTTGAAAAGAGATTCCGACTGTCGCACACCATTTTTGTTCCTCTTATACACTTTTTATTCCACCAAAACAGTACATCAAATTGGAGATGAGACGACAACCAAGGATGAGCCTCCTCTATCACATACTTGAATTAAGACTAAAAAACAATAATTCATATCATGTATTATTGTTTTTAATTTTTTTTTTTTGCCATAAATTGAATAAATTAATAAAGTGTCAAAAGATTTATTTATTTTTAGCTACCCAAAGGAGTGTCAAAAGACAACAATAAGAAGAAAAAAAGTCATTTTCCGTTGAACAAATCAACTATTTATTTATTTAAAAGAATGTGGATGTTGATTGATGCATCTAAATACGAAGAACGATCTTGGAGGGAGACATTCATTAGAAGCCAAAAAAAAAAAGTTGAAATAATTTAGGAAAAAGCATGAAAACCTCATTAAGCGGGACTCATTGACACGATACTTATTAGGTGAGGGTGGTGCTATAGCTTTCTCAATTTTCGGCTTTTAGATGAAATAATTTGAAAAAAATCAAATGACTTAAATAAATTAATTAGAATGCAGAGGTAAAGGTGGTGCTATAGCCTTCTCAATTTTCGGTTTTTAAATTAAATAATTTGAAAAAAATCAATTGACATAAATAAATTAATAAGAAGTGTAGAGGTAAAAATGAGTGTGTGGATAGCACCACCCAGGTAATATTTTTGTGTTTACTTTGAAGTCTTTAGAGGAATGAGAGTGCAAGTTCGTAAAGCGAATAAGGGATGAAATTTTTAGGAGAAGTTATATTCGTGTGTTTACTTTTAAGTCTTTAGGGGAATGACAACGCAAGTTTGCAATTGGAATAAGGGATGAAAATTTTAGGAGGAAAGTCATATTATTGTGTTTACTTTCCAAGTCTTTTGGGGGAATGAGAGTGCACGTACGCAATTGGAATAAGGGATGAAATTTTAAGGTGAAAAGTAATATAGTGTTTACTTTCAAGTCTTTAGAGAATGAGAGTGCAAGTTCTCGGAATAAGGGAGGAAATTTTTAGGTGAAAAGTCATATTCCTGTGTTTACTTTCAACCAGTCTCTAGGAGAATGAGAGTGCAAGTACGTATTGGAATAAGAGATTACAATTTTGGAGAAAAATCATATTCTTGTGTTTACTTTCAAGTCTTTAGAAGAATGAGAGTGTAAGTTTGCAATGGGAATGCGAGATGAAATTTTTAGGTGAAAAGTCATTTTCTTGTATTTACTTTCAAGTTTTTAGGGGAATGAGTGTACAAGTTTGCAAATGGAATAAGGGATGAAATTTTTAGGAGAAAAGCTTATTCTTGTGTTTACTTTGAAGTCATCAAGGGAATGGGAGTGCAAATTCCCAGTTGAAATAAGGGATGAAATTTTTAGGGAAAAAGTCATATTCTTGTGTTTACTTTCAAGTCTTGGGAGAAATGAGAATGCAAGTTCGCAATTAGAACAAGAGATGAAAATTCTACATAACTATGACAATTAAAGAAAGAAGTCAACTTTCTAAGTGGTAGGACCTCCAATTGATGTTAATTAGTAATCTAATCATTGGCCGTGAGCTAGAGACTAGAGCACCCTCCGTGAAGCTGCAATATTGAAAAATATCCAAGAGGAAAAGTCATGCTAAGTTAAAGCCAGGCCCATGATGTCGGGCAGTCGGTCAATGGCAGGAGCAGGACTGACTTGTGTAATAAAAAAAGATTGACTTACATGTAACGGTGCAGTGTTACGATGATAGTTAATGATATAATGTTACTTGGATAAAGACTTACACAGAACATTACATTATTGATCCTTTTTTTTTTTTTGAGGAACTTACATTATTGATCCTTAATTGCAAAGGAAAACACTTCATCCTGTCCCGGATTTTATGTGAATTAGAATAAAAGTCCAGAAATGCAGAAAGTTGCTCCTCTGGATTTAACCAATTATCATGAGAATATTAGTGATTGTAGTCTGATTTTGCATCTTACAGGCAAGGCAACATATATATGCAAAAGATTGGCTACAGGTGGTGGAATCCTGGGTTCTTTGTTTCTTGTTCTACTGGCAACCGCGGCATATCAGGTATATGGCGCTCATGGAAAAGGAAAAGGAGAATGAATTAAGAATTGAAAGATTCTTGGAAGCTTACAATGCACTCAACCCATCAGGTAAAGAGGATTACAAATCAATTCAAGGTATTGGTGTCAAAACTCGTATAGAGCCTGACTAGGTTCAACACATGGTTTGCTCTGGGTGTTGCTTTCGGTCTCGTTGCCAGTGGATGGCTCAAGAGAAAGAGAAAATAGGCGTGACACTAGATAGTTGGTGTTTATTTAGGAATAAGGTTGGTTTGCGCTTAAATCTAACTTAACCAAAACGAAGATACACCTAGTGAGATTCTGGTTCGATTAAGTTTTTTCTTATGCTTCGATAGAACAAGGACTTGGAATCCATTTTAAAAAGTGTGTTTGCCTAAGTTTGTAAGTGGAAATAAAATACTAATTAAAGCAAAAAACTGAGTGTAACCATTTCACGATTGAGTCAAGACTATAAATGTTCATAAAAGGGAATCAAGGGCTGATAAGCCGATTTACATAACTGAAACTTAAGTGCTCGTTTGGATGTGCTTTTAAAATGACTGAAAGCGTTTTTCGTGAAAATATTTTTGGAAACAATCCATAGTAAAAATACTAGTAAATCCTGGAAAAATACTTAAAGTGCTTCGTGGAAGAAACACATAACTGGTGCTTCTTGTAGAAAGCACTTAAAGTGCTTTTAGAACCCAAAAATATTTTATCTAAAAGCACTTTCAGTAATTTAAAAAGCACAATCAAACGAACCCTAAATCAATTTAGAAATGTATAGAAAACAAAATAATTCTAACAAGATTCATAATCATAACCATTCTAGCACATCATGATCTACAAGTAATAATCTTCCATCCTAAAATGCCATATAACGAAGGGAAGGATAAATGCTAATCATCCTAAAACTTAATTATTATATCTCCCAGTTTAAGGCGTCATATTTAACAAGAGAATTATTATTAGCACTCTAAAATTTTAATTACGCACTTTAAATTTTTTATATTAAAAAGAAAAATATTCTTGTGACGAGTGCATAATTAGATTTTTAGAGTATCAATAATAGTTTCTTCTGACATTTGATGAGCATAATTGTTCTTAACACTTCAAAATAGTTATTTTTCATTCATTTTCTAAATTATTTTTCAAGAAAATTGTAGCAATAATTCGTTAACTAAAAATTCATGAACATTGGACCCTTAACTCATCAAAACGTGCAGCTATAGTACTTTTCGTCAACTCCATCAGAATTAAGTCAAAATGACTCATGTTGGAAGGACCATTGCTACAAGCGAGTTAAAGTTTAGGGATCGTGTTACTCCAATTGGTTAAAGTGGAGGGACTATTGATACAATTTTTTTCATTTGGTTTTCTATATTTGCCCCTTCATTTAGCCTCATGTGCGTGGCACATGACTCATTTTGATGAAATTTTTAACGGAGTTAACGCAAAAGACCATAACTACCTGTTTTGATGAATTAAGGGACAAATGATCATGAATTTTTAGTTGAGCGATTATTGCTCCGATTGAGTTAAAATTAAGGGACCATTACTACAATTTCCTCTTATTTTTCAAAAGTGACCATCGTTCGTCCTCATCCTTAAACATTATAATCAACAACTAATGATTGTTCACTTTCACGACATTATTTTTCAAAAATGACAATCATCTGTCTTCATCCTCAAACATTATAATCAACGATTGATAATTATTCGTGACAAGTAAACACCGGAGAGTTTAATACATTCACTTTCACGACATTATTTTTCAAAAATGACAATCACCCGTCTTCATCCTCCAACATTATTATCGATGACTTATAATCGTTCGAGACAAGTAAATAGTGGAAGAATCTTTAACATTCACTTTCACGACATGTCTTGGAAGTTGCAACTATCTTGCAATACCCAACCAAAGGGCTACTACAGTACCAATTAAAAAGACGTTTGTCGCTACGGGATGATGAAATGAATTTTAAAATTTATTAACATTCTCCAAAAAAAAAAAGGTAATGTTAATAATCCGCAGGTACTGAAACCTTTAAAAGAATGCCCAATAACTTATTTGGCATTGTACAAAATATTTAAAATACGGAAAAGAAATATAATTCGGGCAATATTTTCAAAGGATGTGCAAGTGCGCAAAGACACAAAGTTCACGTGATCTACCACCAGACATCAGGACACACCCAAATCTCGTGCCCTTGATCTACCCAAGTCCACGCTCTCAGCACGTGCGACATGTGCCACAACTCACGCTCACCTCACACACATAGTGCACCCCCACACGCCACGTTCGTGCCAGCAAATTCCCCCAAACACGCTCGCACCTCGCACGCGTGGCAATCCCCCGAGCGTGAGCGCCCCCTCCTCGCATGCTCGCACGCTTCTCCTTCCCCATCCCTCTCCCGCCCGACCCGAGCCGCCCGTCTCCGACCCCCTCCCTCCGTCTTCCCCTTCGGAGCCCCGCCCTACTCCTCGTGAGACGACGCCGTACTATTTATTTCGGGCCGCCGGAAAATTCGGGCACGGATTCCGGTGAAGCAGCTAGGGCTTCTAAAAAGGGGGAAGAGAAGATGGATCGGGTAGAAAATGGGACTGGGAGCTCTGAGTGAGGGCGATGAGGTGGAATTCGAGGAGAAACTGGAGAATTCCGGCCAAGGTGGAGTCAAATGCTAGAATTCGGCCGTCCCAGCTGGTTTTAGAAGGTAATTCAGTTCACTACATGGAAAAGTTTTACTTTTTGGTCATGTTTGGCTTCTGAGAAAATTTAAAGGCTTTCTCGTTTGTGACATGTGTGGAAAGTAATAGAGAATAAGCGCCTTGTTTGGCTGCTGAGAAAATTTGAGCAGAAGTCAACCCCATTAGAGCCAAATTGGTGTAAACAGTCAATTTAGTAGGATCTGTGTCTCTGTAATTTTGAACTGTACTAGAATTATTCATGTGAGATATGTCTAATTTTTGGAGTTTCGATTTTTAACAGAAAATTGAGCAGGACCGTATCTGCGTTGTTGAGAAAAATCTACTCCTTCAAGTGGTTATGTGGGAAATTAAGCAGTGATGGTTTCTACATTCATGATAGAAGGATCAAGTAGCTAAGATAATCAGGAGGTTTAAAGCGTAGGATAAACGAATAAGGAGATTATGGAAACGGGTCTTCAGAAGTTAATCACAAGTGACGAAGATGTTGATGAAGTCGGTTGGTGTTGATGGTGTTATGGTTGATTGCTGGTGGGGAATTGTAGAGGCACACAGTCCGCAGGGATATAATTGGAGTGGCTACAAGAAACTATTCCAAATTGTGCGCAATCTTAACCTTAAGTTACAGGTGAGTGGTATATACTTATACTAGCATTTTCTTCTTTCTCCTTGCTTGTGTATTACAATTTTTCTCTTCATCGTCTGTTTCTTGTTTCCTTTCAGTAGTCATGTCAATTACAGTGCCAAATTTCAGATTTTCAGTTTTTACAGATGTTAACCTGCACTAATCTGATAATTTTTTAGAACTGATAATGTTAAGTATCCTTGTACAATGAGTGATTCTGGAAGTATCACGTTTGTCTCCGACATGATGCACTTTTGTTGCTGTAGGACATAAATCTGTAAAAATCGTCTTGGAAACTTTTTTAATTGGTCTTGGAAACTTATTTGACCTTTGTTGATACGTGACGTATATTTTCATTTTTAGAGTTAAATTTTGTCAGTCAAAATACATGTTCTGAAACAGTTGAGAAGGCTTTGATTTGGACAGATAATCATTCGGGGTGATTTGTACCAAGCTTTCTTTCTTAATTGGTTGTCTTCAGTTAATGACTGGCTATTGTCTTTTTTTTTTTTTTTTTTGAACAAACGATATTATCTATCCACTAAGGGGGAGGGGTGGGCTTAGCCTCATAATGGGCTAACAATTATATGGCTCAAACTCGCCTTTGGCTAAGACCTCTCACTTACAAGTGAAGAGGAATACCACTTGACCGTAATACTAAGTGGCTGACTGGCTATTGTCTTAGGTAAAGGGGCATAATAGTCTTGAGTAGATTTGCTGAAAAGTAATGCACTGCTAGCTTTTCCTTTTGTAAATTAGTTTGCGAGACTATCAGTTAAAACTCATTTTAAATAAGAGAAAGATTTTCTGCTTTACATTTTTCCTTTGAATATGCATTTTGGATATGGTGTGCATTGTCTTACTCTGTATTGCTGTAGGTCGTGATGTCATTCCACGAGTGTGGAGGCAATGTCGGGGATGATGTACATATCCCACTTCCTCACTGGGTGACAGAAATTGGCCAAAAGAATCCTGATATATATTTTACTAATAAAGAAGGGAAACGCAACACTGAATGCCTCACACGGGGAATTGATAAAGAGCGTGTTTTAAGAGGCCGCACTGCTGTTGAGGTATAGTATTCGAGAATTACTTAGTTATGCTGGTTTTTTAATTTCTATGGATTGCCATAGCTCCTTTCCTATATTTGATTTCTTTTACATGTTCCACTCATCTTTTAAAAGAAGCTATTGCTAAAGCTATTCCAACTTTTATACGTTCTTTATTTCTAAGAACTTTCCTTTTGTATGCCATAAGAATCAGACCCTATGCATTCTTACTGTTTGATGGTGAGAGTTGCTATTCTGTTATTTTATAATGGAACCAATGCAGGTTTACTTTGACTACATGAGGAGTTTCAGAGTTGAATTTTATGAATTTTTTGAGGAAGGAATAATATCAGAAATTGAAGTTGGATTAGGTCCGTGTGGAGAGCTACGGTATCCTTCTTATCCTGAACAGCATGGTTGGAAATATCCTGGTATTGGTGAATTCCAGGTACCTTAATAAATGGTGATCATTCCTTTCATTAGTGGCAGGCATGATAGCTAGGAGTTGACAGTTATTTCTAAATGTTAATTTAGTAGCCCTTCATTCATCTGTGATTATGACCTTAAGCCAGTAGCTCATTTGATTTATTACTTCTATCTGAACTTTGAAATAGTTCTCTGATTCAACCTGGTTCGGTGCAGTGTTATGATCGATACTTGATGAAGAATCTGACGCAGGCTGCAGAAGCAAGGGGCCACTCCTTCTGGGCCAGAGTACCAGATAATGCAGGCTCTTATAATTCCCAACCACATGAGACAGGGTTTTTCCGTGACGGAGGTGATTATGATAGCTACTATGGCAGATTCTTTCTTAATTGGTACTCCCGTGTTTTGATTGATCATGGTGACCGTGTACTTGCTCTGGCCAATTTAGCTTTTGAAGGCACACGCATTGCTACAAAGGTGAGTCACTTTATTGGACATTAGTTCTACACGGTTCCTTTTTTTTTTTTTTTTTTTTTTTTTGGAGTTTCTTTATTTGATTTATGAGCAGGTATCAGGTATCCACTGGTGGTACAAGACTGCCAGCCATCCTGCTGAATTAACCGCTGGATTTTACAACTCCTGCAATTGTGATGGGTATGCGCCAATTTCTGCAATGTTAAAAAAGCATGAGGCTGCTCTGAATTTCACATGTGTTGAAATGCGCACATTAGACCAACATGAGGGCTTTCCGGAAGCACTGGCAGACCCCGAGGGATTAGTTTGGCAGGTAAGCACAGAAACTCATGTGTAATTACTTCCTGGATTTTATGCATATGTAAATTAAGCAATAAATATAAATCACCACCATTCGGAAAAGTGAGCTGGATGAGTAGAAACTTAAAAAGCATCAATTAGAATTTTGAGCTGAATATGCATACTTCTTTTATTCTTGGGAAGGTGGCCACATTTAGTGTCCGAGTCAGTTGCTATTTTGTGAATAATGGATCTGCTCAAATTCATTCTTCTCCATCTGTCAAACAAATACTTTAAAATTTTTCTAACTAACATGGGCAAGTAACACTGGATCAAGAGGGGCGGTCTGTTGTTACATGTGAAATGTCAGTTTCCCTTGGATTATGTACCAAAATATTATCTGTGTAGCCTTTTTGTTTTCTTTTTGATAATGTTTTTGGATTTCAATTTTTTTCAGGTGCTGAATGCTGCATGGGATGCTAACATTCCAGTTGCTAGTGAGAATACTCTTACTTGCTTTGACAGAGAAGGCTACAACAAGATATTAGAAAATGCTAAGCCCTGGAACGATCCAGATGGCAGGCATTTATCGGCATTTACCTATCTCAGATTAAGCCCAGTTCTCATTGAGAAGCATAACTTAACGGAGTTCGAACGATTTGTCAAGAGAATGCATGGTAAGAGTTGTAAGACCACATGGTTCTCTTTTCGTGCATTGCTACACACTCAAGCATGAGCACACGTTTGCACAAACTCGCATATATTTCATTTTATAGCAAGAAAAATGAGTAATACAATGCACTCTTTGGCACGTCCTCTTGTACGCTCAGAAGTTTTTTTTTCCTCATATTATGTTGTGTTGCTTGGTTGCACCCTTTGAATAAGACCCCTGCATAAGCCAAAATCAGGCATTTCGGATAAGCTCTAATTCAAGCCTTCTCTCTAAAACTGGAGCTTATATGAGAAGCTGAAATCCAATTAATGAAATAATGTAGAGTGGCGAATGTATATTCTTAGATTCATGTATGCTTGTGCATGTAACTTCTTGTTTACACATTTCTTATCATACTGACCCTACACTCACATTCAAACTGATCCAAGACATGGAAAAAAAATTAAAGCATATTCTGTTGTCCTACGCCTCTATCAATTGTCGCTGCATTTTGTTTTTGGATAGATTACCATGTATATAATCTATATCATATGCCTGCTGCTGTGATCTGTACAATACGCTTGCTATTATGAGACGATATGTCTCACATGGTGTAGCGCTTGCTTTGTTTTTTCTGTTGGCCTGATCTAACATCTAAATTTAATACACTTGAAAACGCAGGAGAAGCCGCTCCTGATGTTTAATAAAAACTTCGACAGGCTTGGTGTATCAACTGATAAAACTATGGTTACAAACTTGTAACCGACGATGGTAATTTATAAGATATTTCCATTCCAAATCTCACAAATGCATACTCATGACATGAGCCTTGTTTTTAGCTACAAGTTACTAAAAGTGACGAGAAAGGATACAAACAACACCCCACTTGTAAGTGATTCCAGATCAGCTCAACAACGATGGTTGTTTGTGTGGTTGCAAATGTTGATGGAGGCTAAATTGCACAAATCATTAGTGCGCGATATGGGTTATATGTCAATGTTACTCGTGTGCACGGGTGACACTGACATATGACCCGCACCATATGAATGATTCGTGTAATTTGACTAATTTTCAATTAGAGATGGGGACGATTGATTGCACCGCATGAATGATTCGTGCAATTTGACTAATTTTCAATTAGAGATGGGGACAATTGATTGTATTGGCATTGTATGATCATAATGTTGTTCAATGCAATTAATATATCATTTTTAAATGATGGGGAATTCAATGACGCGAGACTTTAAAATAATAAAAAATTATATGACTTTTTAAGTCTTTTGAAGAAACAAGAGTTGTATGTTCACAGTTGGAATAATGAAATTTCCACACAATTAAGACAGAAGTCTCACTTTCTAATTGATAGATATTCTTGTGTTTGACTTGTGACACATGACACTTTTATTATGGTTTAAAAAAGTATAAGGGGGATTTGTGTGTGTATACCACATGGATAGGTGATCTTCATGTCAAGCACCAAATTTTGGCCAAATGTGATCAAACTGGGTTCAATTACAATGTATATCATAAGAGGTTTGGGGTGAAATCCAAATATCATATTCTTCTTCATCAAGACATCAATGCCTTGTCTATTGGGGCGAAGCCAAAAAATAGATGGACAAGACTGATGAAGAAGCTCATTAAGCTCGTGAAAGGTAGGCCATGGCAATCCGTGCAAATGGGCAGATGAGAAGAACAAAAATAAGAAAACCTTGGTCAGTCTACTATGGAGGACAAGGTTCTTCAATATAAACCTCGAATAATAGTTCTTCACTAATTAAATCTCTTTTTAAAGTAAGAATTTATAATACATTATTTCACTTTTATAACTAAGAACTTGATTATCACCTAGCTGCCAAAGAACATGTTAGCTCTACGTTTGAACATATTGGGTCTTGAATGTCACCCACAGCCACAGGAGTCTCTTGTGGGCATAGAGAAGGCCTGGGGGGCATTTGCAAACATTCAGCATCTCCTCCAAGCATCTTGATGACTTTGTGCATCGAAGGGCGATCGGTTGGTTTCATTTGAATGCACCACAAGGCGGTTATAACCATCTTTCTGATTACATTCTTTTCCTCCTCTGTTACATTGTCCATCTCCAAGTCATTTCCCACATTATACTAATCGTATACCCACAGTGGGAAGTAGATTTGGCTTGAATGCTCTACCGTTGTATTCAAATTCTTCCTTCTGCTTGCCATTTCCATCAACAACATTCCGAAACTATAGACATCGGCCTTGTGTGAAACGCCTCCAATATTTTTGTAGAACAATTCAGGAGCAATATATCCCATTGTGCCCCTCGCTGCCGTCAACGTGACAATGCTATTATCGACGGGATACAACTTTGCTAGCCCAAAGTCAGAAACCTTTGCTTTGAAGTTCTCATCAAGAAGAATATTATGAGGCTTGATATCGAAATGGAGAATTTGCATCTCGCAACCTTGATGTAGATACTCAATCCCTTGAGCCACTCCAAGAGAAATCTCATACATTTTGTCGATAGTTAAAGGCACACTTCCTTCTTCGGAATAAATGTATTTATCAAGAGAGCCATTAGCCATGAACTCATATACTAGAGCACGCTTTGAGCCCTCAACACAATAACCAACGAGTCGCACCACATTGGCATGGTGAATCGTTCCAATGGTAGCTATTTCACTAATGAAATCTTGGCCATTAGCTTTGGAATTGCTCAGAACTTTAATTGCTACAAAACGGCCGCTGCGTAACTTTCCTTTAAATACTAAGCCATAGCTGCCTTTGCCCAACTTATCCTTAAACTTGCGAGTCATCTTCTTGATGTCCGAGTAAGAGTACCTTATAGGCATGAAATTCTTATCGCGCTGTAGAAAGTCTTCTATTGTACTATACATTGACGAATGTCTTCTTCGCCATTTATAGACTAAAAATACAGCCGCAATTGGAACGCCAAACAGTAGTCTTGCTAGAAAAAATAAGCCTGCAAAAATATATATATCACCAAAAGAATCATAAGAAAAGAAACTTATATGTTAGATCCACACTACTTTCAACTTTCTTCAACTTCTTTTGTTTCTAAATTACATTTTACTTTGTTTCATTCATGACAAGTTGGAATCTACACACGCACATATACAACTAATAATTCAAGCTTTTCTTACCGATGCCCATCAGTATTTCCCATCCACACGCTGCAAGAAAATAGCAAAGAGTAAAAGCCAATTATATCAACGGCTATTAGTTTGAAAAGTGAATAAAAATCAAAGACTTGACTACATATATGCAAGAAATACAAGCTCTGTCTTACCGATGGAATGGATGGAATGGAATGGAAACCATGGAGGAAGGTATCCTGCAATAAATACCAAACAAAATTCAGCAACGGCAAAAGACTAGACTACATAGACAGAAGCTAGCATTTGAAGAGACGGTCCTTACCAAGATCCACGGTTTCACCTACAGTGACAGAAGTGAAAAAAAATACACAACATTAGCAAATACCACAAGGAGTCTTCATTAGTGTTAAATCATCAAGTTTTGAAACATATCTTTTCAACGAGTCCTACAATTACGCTTTTGGTACATAACCAACAACTGAATACCAAATTTCAAACATTATTTAGTTTATTGCCTGCCATGTTTACTTATAGGGTAATTATTCACAACCTCAATCTTGGGCCACACAACAAAATTTTACTTCATTTTTTTTTAACATTACAATATCATACATTAACTTACGTATCCATTACAACGTCAGACCTTTGTCTCCTTATCCATCAATTTGTCTATTAACTACTCACGTATCAGACGCGAGACTCCCTCTCTTGCCCAACTAAATTGAAAAATTAATTAAATATTAATAAATTAAGAATTTCATAAACCTTCGCACACTTGCACGCTAGGGTGCAAGACTACTCAAAAACCTTAATTTCTTACTATTTAATTTCTCAATTCAATTAGGTTGAGGGAGTGGCTAGTAACTGCAAGGTCAGCATTTAATAGACAAATAAATGATAAAAATAAGGAAGTCTAATATTGCAACGAATTTATAAGTTGATATATGATGTTGCAATATTAAAAAAATGAGGTACGAGTTTGTTATGTAACATAATTTACTCTTACTTATAATTTGTTGGAAGAGGATACACGTTGAAATCTAACTACAGAAGTTAGAGACTTGTGTATACTCTAAAATCGTAAATATTGAATTTTAAAGAGAAACAAAAACGAGAGATTTATTTTCTTCATTTTTGTTTTGGAGAGGGACCACTTACGGATTTTAGCCCATGCATATTGAAAGAAACCTACAGTAAAAGAATAAAACAACATTAGCATAACAACCGTTAGAAAATAAAATTCAAGTTGCTGCCATTTGTTGATACCTGTACAGCATTAGCATATATAAGAAATAAAGGGATATAGTTTTGGGAAATGGCCATTATATAAGAAAAATGGTAAATTATACTTTACCATCTTACTTTTGGAATCGATATCAATTCTTTAGAATATCTTTAAAATATTTCATTTTCATACATCAAATACTATTTTATTTCAATATAGTAAATTTGTTATATTTTTTATCTATTGATCTTTTAAAAACTGATGTGGTTGTTACATTTGTGTCACGTGGCTGTCAAAATAAATAATTTAAAAGTTATTAATTTAAAATTAAAAAAAAAAACAACATAACCCATCTTCTTCCCCGACCCCCCCACCCTGCAACCCAAACCCCCCACCCCACCCCCAATCCCACCTCCGCCGCAACCCCCCCCCCCTCCCTACCCCCACCCCCACCACACCGAAAACCCAGCTGGGTATTTTGGAAGCGAGAGTTGCAGAAGACACAGAGGTGCCCCCACGGAGACAAGGAGAAGAAGACGGATCGGGTCTTGTAGCTGCTTTCTCCCTCTAAGTCCACTTCTCTTCTTTCTCTCTCTAGAATTCCCTTTTCTTTGACTGAGGTCTCCACTCACAATGATGGCAAGGACTGCTGCCACATCGTGGATGGTAAGGTAATCTTCTAGCTCCTAAGCTGCGGTTTTCAGTTAAATTTGTGGATTTTGCATCTGGGTTTTAATTTGAGGGTTTCTGAGTGTGATTGAATCTGGGTTTTGCTCTGATTGGATCTGTGTGAAGTGCTTTTTTTTCGTCTTGAGAATTTAATTCCCCCTTTTGATTTTGGGGCTTTGGGTTGAATAGCTGAGTTTTTTTGGGGTTTTGGGTGGGGTGGGGTGGGGGTATGGGGGGTTTGGGTTGCAGGGAAGGGGGACGGAGAAGAAGATAGCTTCTGGGTTTTTTTATTATTTATTATTTATTATTTATTATTATTATTTTTAATTAATTATTTTTACATGAATAAATAAATATTTTTTTTGCCACACAAATTTAGCAACCACGTCAATGGATAGAAAATGTAATGAAGGTATTATATTGATATAAAAAAAAAAGTAAAATGTTTTAAAGATGTTATAAGGAATTGAAATCGATCCTAAACTTGAGGTGGGAAAATGTATTTACCCTAAGAAAAACAATTAAAAGTGTTTAGCGGTAATAGAAATATAGACAACAACCACAATATAAATAGTCTTAATAGGATGAAATGTTTATCTCTTTATATGGTTCAGATAACCTCATAAATATTGTATTATTAAGATATTATTGTTACGATATCAATAATATTGTTACGATATGATATCCATAATAATGTCTATATGTATCTATATACTGTTGACATGATATGAATATTGTTGATATATTTTTCAAGCAGAATGAATGGCTTAGCAGGAGGTTTCGCAAAGAAAGAATATATATTCCTCTTCCGTTGAGGAACAACTGGTGCTGCGCATTTTGTATACAACGATTCAAACTATTTATATTTTAGTACATCGTTCATAGATAAAAAAAAATTAGAAAAATCCAAAACCATAAACACATTCAATTGTAGTAAAGAAAATAGAAGAATATGATTTTTCAAAAAACACTAGTATGACTGGCATTTAAAGAAAGAAGTAAAAGATAGACAGTTAAATCATTGAAATACGCACCTGGGATGGTGCGCGGAAAACATTTCAAATTACTCGAACCGTCAATGTAATAACTGTCAATGTAATATGAGCCATTGCAGGGTTCATCAGGCCGATACACTCGAAGCTCAAAGCCATACATGAGTGCACTGTGTATACATTCATAGCTATAAGAGGCATTGCAGTACCCCTTAAGGTAGTCCGAGAGCATCGAAGCCTTCCTCTCGACTCTGCAACCCTCATTCAAATCTTCCATTGTTTTGTTAACCATGACATAACTATAAGATTTAGGTTGGATCAAAGAAGTGGCACTATTATTCAGGCATGGAGCAGTATCCACGTACAGAGAAGACTTTACTTGGTTTCTACACCTCAAGTAATATACTGACACTGGAAGCGATGAATCATATGGAGATAGATGCGGAATATCATAGGACAGCCAATTTTGAGGCAGGGAAGAGCAATTGTTGTTGTCAAGGCCAGGATCTAGAAGTCGGATGGTCTTGTAATTGATTGCCTGTACGTGGTATTTACCGGAATGAGGTAGATCTAGCACAGTAACGTTGTTCTCACAGGAAAGAGTATACCTTCTGTCGCCACATTTCTTCGGATCATCGTTTAGTCGAAAAGGATAAGTTATGTTATGGATAAGGCCGCAGGAGGAGGTACATGAAGACTTACTATCATCCTTAGCGTTACAAGTTTCACCGCAAAAGCAAAGAACAAGAAAGGCTAGAACGAAAGGCCACCAAGACAAGGTGAAGGATCTGCTTCCTCCTTTTTCCATGGGTAGAAGAGAGAGAGAGAGAGGTGTTTACTAGTAGACAAAAAGTGCTAGTTTAGACTAGGGGTGGTTCGGTATGGGATCCCATACCAAAACCATTGTCCCGATTCCCAAACCGAAATTTTTGGGAATCCCAAATTCAATCCCAATCCCAAACCAAATTTTCGGGAATCCCAATTTTCGGGAATCCCGAAATAATTTCGGGATTTCGGGACAAATCGGGAATCCCGAAATGTTTTTGGGCTTTTGGACTAAAATTTGACATATTATGTTTTTGGGCTAAAATTTGACATATTATAAAGTAATAAATAAAGTAACAAACTCAAAAGCAAAAATAGTAGTTACAAGCCAAGGTTTATAAATAAAGTAACAAACCCAAAATCAAAAAAATTAGTTATGAGCCAAAGTTTCAATAATTAAGTTACAAACCAAAAGCTAAAAAGCAAAGCTTAAAGTCTATAAATATTGTTGGCCTCTTCGGCCCCTTCGTCCCCTTGATCTTGTTGATGCTTGTGGTTGCTCCCTTCTTGTTGGTAATTGTATATATATATATATATATATACAGATTAAATCTAAAACAATGAACGGTTGAAATAATTCTCTTATAATAAAAAAAATTATATATATATATATATATATATTTATTTCAATTCGGTATGGGAATACCGAAAAAATGGAGATGGAATACCGAATCCCATACCGAAATTTTCGGTTTGGTTCGGGATTACATACCGAAAATTTCGGGAATTTTGGTTTGGGATTTTTTTGGTTTGGGATCGGGATTTTTTCGGTTTGGTTTGGGATTTTTGGGATTTTTTTCCAGCCCTAGTTTAGACAGTTGTATACATACCCATATTATAATATAGGAGTGGGGTTAAAGGAAGCACCTTCCGTGAAGTTCCAATTATTAATTAGAAAATATATTAGGGGAAAGTCAGTGAATGATGTTTGTTTGACACAGTCGGTCAATAGCAAAGATTGACTTGTGCAATGAAATGAGAGGGAGGGAGGCAGCGTGAGGAGAGAGGAGGTGGCAGCGGAGTTGGGGGTGGGGGAAGCTTGAAAATTCTAATGTTATTAGTGGAGGATAATTGGGAAGCTATGACAAAAATTTCTTAGTTGGTGAACTTAACATAAAATTGGGTATCAATAAAAGTACCCTCTGAGGGCAGGGATGGTTTTTGGATGACAAAACCTTGAGAGGTGTGTTCAATTAAGATTTTGAAGGATTTTAAAAGAGTTATAAATTTCATAAAATTTTATGGAATTTCAAAGACCTTTATTTAGTATTTTGGTAGTGCATTTGTAGCATTTTAGTAATTGAGAAGAGTGGGTTGGAGAAGAAGGTCACATCCACGAAAACAATCCAGTACTTGCAGTTGAGAAGACAATTTAAGACGGATAATTTTTTTTTTTAATTTGTATAATATAAAAGGAAGCACCTTCCCTGAAGTTGCATGCAGTAAGCACTCAAATTATTGATTAGCATAGAAAATATCATAGAGGAAAGTCGGTCAATGGCAAAGACCGACTTGTGTAATGAAATGATGAAGGAATTGCTCCTCTCTTCCTCTTGCATATTGTTAATGCAGAATACTCTATAACTACTACGTATGTATATATATGTGTGCACGTTTAATTAGATTCCATGCGCATTATTATTACTATTACTAGCTCAAAAATGCCGAAATTGCTCATCGCTTCCTTTTGCATGTTGTTACTGGTTTTCTTCAAACTAGTTGAAGCAAGCCAATTTACATGCTCCGAATCCATATGTAGCGATGATCGAGGCCCGGCTATCCATTTTCCATTGCACCGCAAGCATCATTGTCTTCCTGGACTTGAATGCAATCAGACAGATGAGCAGCCGATAATCCTAGGAAAATTCTTTGTCAAGCGCATAGATTACAAGCGTCAGGAAATCCAAGTGTATAGCACATACACAGATAACTGCTTGATGCTAATAAAGCCTGTAAAACTCCCAAACATGCCACTCTTTTCCGTCAACTTGTCAATTTTCGACATCCTTAACTTTACCTTATTCAGCTGCCCACCTGATGGAAGATCCCATGGGATTCAAGTCCCCTGCCTCGGTGACCCTGGCAGCACAACTTCTTATTGTTCAAGTTCCCCATCATTGGATGATATCCCTGATTATCTACAGTCTTGTACAAGAATGTATGATGTTTTATCAGTTCCAATTGGTACAAAGTTCGAAAACGAATATGGTGTTCTTCGTTTCAAGTGGTCCACACCAAATTGCAGAGAATGTGAAGCAGAGGGAAAGAGGTGTAGGTGGAAGAACAATGGCACCAACAGTGAAATTGAATGTGTTCACTGGAGGAAACCAAGTAAAGATAACATATATTATACTCATTGCTAGCTAGCTTTAAACATTGTTCTTTCCAATTTTATGTTGTCCATTTTATTAGGATTAATCGACTGACAGTCTCCATTTAATTTGCAATTATCTTTTACCGGCAGCACATGGAAATCACTGGTTACAGGTGGAGTCCTGGGTTCTTTGCTTCTCGTTCTACTGATGATTGCAGCATATCGGGTATATAGCGCTGATAGAAAGGAAAAAGAGAGTCGATTAAGAATTGAAAGATTCTTGGAGGATTACAGAGCACTGAAACCGAGCAGGTATTTGTACGCAGATATTAAGAGGATTACAGATCAATTCAAGGACAAGTTGGGCCAAGGAGCCTACGGAACTGTCTTCAAAGGAAGGCTTTCTTCTGAATTCCTTATTGCTGTCAAAGTCCTCAACAGTTCTAAGGGAGATGGGGAAGAGTTCGTAAATGAAGTGCGAACCATGGGTCATATCCACCACGTCAACGTGGCTCGCTTGGTTGGATTTTGTGCTGATGGATTTGTACGAGCTCTTGTTTACGAGTTCTTCCCCAATGGTTCCCTGCAAGATTTCATTTCGTCTGCAGATAGTAAGAATTCCTTCCTTGGTTGGGATAAGTTGCAAAATATTGCCCTCGGCATAGCCAGGGGAATTGAATATCTTCACCAAGGATGTGATCAACGAATCCTCCATTTCGATATCAAACCCCATAATGTTTTGCTAGACCAAAACTTCACTCCAAAAATTTCTGATTTTGGTTTGGCCAAGTTATGTTCCAAGGATCAAAGCTTGGTGTCTATGACTACAGCCAGGGGGACCATGGGCTACATTGCACCCGAAGTGTTCTCCAGGAATTTCGGAAACGTGTCTTACAAGGCAGATGTCTATAGCTTTGGAATGCTGCTGCTCGAGATGGTAGGAGGAAGGAAGAATATTGGTTCAACCATCGAGAACACCACAAATGAAATTTACCATCCACAGTGGATTTATAATCTTCTAGAGGAAGGGGATGACCTACGAATCCATATTGGGGAAGAAGGAGATGGTAAAATTCCAAAGAAACTTGCAATTATAGGGCTATGGTGTATCCAGTGGCACCCGGTGGATCGTCCGTCCATGAAAATAGCGGTTCAGATGTTAGAAGGAGACGGAGAAAGCTTGACCATGCCGCCTAATCCCTTTGTGGCTACAGGTCCTGCAACTAAAAATGGAAGCATTCCGGCAAGACGACTAGAGTTGGAACCAATTGCTGAACTAGAGTAGAAATTGTAACAACAATATATGTAATATTAACATTGAATGTGTAATCTTTCGAACCTAATTTAAGGGTGTTTGTTTCCAATTCTTGTTAACTTTTTTTATTTTTTTATTTTGTGAGCATCGAAGGAAATCAAGTCTTGGACTTGCCCTATGCATGTGGCAACCCCTCCCAATTTTTTCTCTTCACATTCGGCCAACTTTTACTTGGAATTTTAATTAGTATAAATCTTAAACAAAGGAAAACAAAATGTAGTTTCTGAGGTATTGAATCATTGAAATAGACGTCGTGCTGCTGGGTTGGAACTTGGAAGAAACTTCATGGATGGATGCTGGATAGAAGTAGCAAATTAACTCATTGAATTATTAAAGGTACCCAATATTCACATCAGTTGCTATAATAAAAGATTTGGAATTATGTGTATTATCCAAATGATTATCCTTCTTTTATTAAATTTCCAAGGAAAATGAAAATGAACTAAAATTGTATAAATTAATGAAGTGTCAAAAGACAATAATAAATTAATGGAAAAAGACTAAAATTTTATAAATTAATGGAGTATCAAAAGACAATAATAACAGAAAAAATCATTTTTCGTTAAACAAATTAACTATTTATTTAAGAGGATGTGGATGATGGTTTATGCATCACGTGAATAAAAAAAAACCAACTTTGAAGAGAGACATTCATTAGACCAACTCCAATGGTGGGCTAAAAGCCAAATTGCCCCCCAAAATTTCCCTCCAAACCCACTCCAACCCAAGGGGAAATTTTTGGCTAAATGCTAAATACTAAACCAATGTCAAATTTCCCCCAAAATTTAGCCCAGAAATCAAAGTGGACTCCACTCAATATTTATCGGAATTTAAATTTTTTTTAGATTAAAATGTTCATAAAATTAATTTACGATAGTCTACATATTTATTTAAAAAAAATATTAATTTAACAAAAAAAAAAAGCCTAAATTCATTCTTTAATAATCCAAGGCTAAAATTTTAGGCTCGAACGGTTGGAGCAGAAAAACTATTTCTGGGCTAAAAGCTAAATTTTTCGGGCTAAAAAATTTGACTTTTAGCCCAACCATTGGAGATGGTCTTAGAAGCAAAGAAAAAAGTTATAATGATTTAGGAAAAAACAAGAAAAGGTAATTAAATGAGACTCATTGACTTGATTAGGAAAGGGCCGGTGAATGAGAATTTTTTTAATATGATCGGAATACGAGATGATATATTATGTGTTATTATGTAAATAGTGAGATATATGTGTTAAAAAGTTCATATCTTAAAAAGTAAAATTTTTCACTACTTATATAAAAATACATGATGTACCATTCGTATTCCGATCACAATGAAGAATTTCTCATGGTAAACAATCTTGAGACATTCATTA